ATTGATTTATACGATCGATATAACGCAAATAACTTATACGAGAGTGAACTCCCTACAGAAGTTCATGGCGCCATTTAAAATAAATAAAAAACAGAAGATTTATTCAAAGCTCATCTATGTATATCAAGACTAATTTAACTTCGATAAAATCCGGTATTAATTACGAAATCGTAATTTTAGTGGTTTGATTCTAATTTTAAATCAGTTTCCGTTATTTCTAGAGCCGTCATCTATAATGTTTAATTCTAACCAGTGGTCCCGCAATAGTCGTAGTTCGACTATAATTAATTGAAATCACAAGTTTGAACATTATTATGGTTCTATTGTCAAAGACTTTATAGTTCTATAATCACAGATTTCGCTAAGACTACACTTTAGACAAATATTAATAAACAAAAACAATATTTAATCTATTCTCAATTTGACCACAGACTTTTTAACAATAACAAAAGTGACAATTGACAATAAACAAGGAGTATATTTTTTCTATATTCAAGAGTTGCGTCAAATACATGGTAGTGTGTGTAATGTTTTTTTTATTTATTTAATGTATCTTTTATGCTTTTTTTTATTGCTTAGATCGATAGACGAGCTTACAGCCCACCTGATGTTAAGTGGTCACTGGAGCCCATAGACATCTACAACGTAAATGCGCCACCCACCTCGAGATATAAGTTCTAAGATCTCAGTATAGTTACAACGGGTACCCAACCCTTCGAACCGAAACACATTACTGCTTCACGGTGGAAATAGGCGGGGTGGTGGTACCTACCCCTGTGGACTCGCAAGAGGTTCTACCACCAGTGAAAAATAATTAAAATAATAATTATAATTTTTAAAACATATTAGCATTCTGCTCTCCTTCTCTATATTCTCTATAAGTTTGGGAAATTTCAAACTCCTCCATCCGCGCAATTTTCGTAAAAAGGGATACAAAGTTTTTGCTTCACGTATTAATATATACATAGATATAGACCTAAAAGAACACAATTGAATCAATTTTCAGTGATATTTTTGCTACTACACGATATACCCACTCGTGACCTGACCTCGGTAAATGTCAGAGCCCGTCCGCGCTTATAACCTGGTTTCCCGCGGTAGGGCTACGGTCGGATTCGCTCTTTAGCGCTCTTTCTGCGTGAAATTATTTAGTTTAATTGCAAAAAAACAACCCTTGAATAATATAACAAGTTCAATCGAGCCTCCACAAATTTTTTCCTCAGTTTTTGTTTTTCTATTTAATGCTTTAGTACTTTTGCTTTTGGCCCCGGATGGTGCTACTTGGGCACTCATGGACACTCGCATTTCAATAGACGTTACCGTTAGTAAAAAGGACTCTAGACCATAGTAAAATGGACTCTAACATTGCTTCATAACATTTTTTTTTTATTCTTGTTCTTTTTTTTAATATATTTTACACTGTTGTGTATTGGTCGGTCTGATGCTGGTGTGCGCGTCACTCCGCAGTTGCCGGCGGAAGATCAGCGCCGCAGTACCAATTGTTCCGTTACTGTTAGGCATTGCTGAGCCGGTAACCGTTTCCAAGCCTCGTTATTTTTGTTATCTTTTTTATTTTTTTTGTACCTAATTTATGTTTGGAATAAATGTTTATTATTATTATTATTATTATTATTACTACTAAATGATGTGCCCTAAACGCTATAATTTCGATTAAGCGCTAAAATTCAAGAACCCCATCCTTTGATTTAAAAGGAATGCTTATTTAATTTCCGATCAGATTAAGACGACTTTGGACTGCAGCATCAATGGCGCTATCCACTACGCGGAGAATAGGAAGGAATGGAGGAACGTAGTCCTAACAAAAGTGCTCCGTAAAGGTCACGACCCTCAACACTGAGGAATACGACGCACGGAGGGATTTAATTTTATTTTGTAACTTGCTGAGTCGCACAATGTAACACACGGTTATTGTCATACCGCGGGTGACGCCGCGAGGCGAAACTAGTCTAAAAAAATTGCCTAAGTTACTCCTTATATCATCAGCTAACTACCAGTGAAAGTTCCATCAAAATCAGTCCAGCCGTTCCAAAGATTAGCCGGAACAAACAGACAGACAGACAGACAAAAATTGTAAATAATGCTATTTTGGTGTATGCACCGTATATATTCACCGCATTCATATGCATGTAGTAAAAAGCGGCTATTTTAATAGTACAAACAGACACACCAATTTTATTTATCTATAGATAAGCTAGAAAGCGTGCACTACTCCACCTGTTTCCTTCATAGAGCGTTCTGTATGCAACTACCCTTCACTATCACGATTCCGTTCCGGTCGTTGATTCTGCGAAGCACTGTTCTTGCTAAGGCCAGTGTTAGCACATTCTCTCAGCATGAGCCCCGAGAGCTCAAACAACAGTCACAGCGTAGTTGGAATAGCCTTATAGGCTACCAGCAATATGGGAAAAAATTCCCTCGACAATTCCTTGAAGACGGAGGTGATCGCCATGTACTAATTTAGTGTATTAACTAATACCAATGGTCCCGCGGTAGTCGAAATTCGACTATAATGAATTGAAATTATAAGTTTGTACACTGTTATGATTCTATTGTCATAGACTATTATACTTCGACAATCACAGATTTCGCTAAGACTACAGTTTAGACAAATATTAATAAAGACAAACTATAATTAATCTATTATCAATTTGTATACAGACTTATAACCAATAAGAAAAGTTTGACATTAAAATTGCGTAGAATATTCAAGGTAGGACACGGTCGGTAAATTGTTGTCATTCCCGATCCTGCAGACAGAATGGAAAGCAGTCGACGTCGCCCCAAACACGTAATTTCGGTTCCTCCCGATCTACTAACAGTGCTTTTAGGTACCTCAAGCACCGGTCATCGTTTTCGTCGAACCCGTCGCTTGCGACGAAGGGCTCGACGAGTAAATTAACCCTCAGACACAGCCCACTGAGTTTCTAGTCGGATCTTCTCAGTGGGTCGCGTTTCCGATCCAGTGGTAGATTCTGCGAAGCACGGCTCTTGCTAGTGTTAGCAACGTCGTCAGGTTTGGGTCCCGTGAGCTCACCTACTAGTTAAGGTTACGCTGAAATAGCCTCTCAAGGCTCTCAGCTTAGGTAGGAAAAAAAATTGTTGACAGTGTTACCAATTCTCATACCACAGAAACCAATCCATGTTAAAACTTCTAGCATATCAAAAACGTTTTCACTATCTAATTTTGAGCAGATCTTTTTTTTATTGCCCTTGTAGGCAGACGAGCATACGGCCCACCTGATGGTGAGTGGTTACCGTCGCCAATGGACTTCAGCAATGCCAGGGGCAGAGCCAAGCCGCTGCCTACCGCAAAGATAAACAGCATCAAATAACCTTAATTTAACTTAATTTAATGAAAATTAATAATAAAAATCGGGCATAGCCGTATCCACATTGTTTAACCCATAAATAGATTCCAGATTCGTTTAACAGATGGCGCTGTATTGCGCCATCGCTCCAGTATGTATTTGCATTCAGTAATTACTCTATTATTTCACTAGCACTTGTTATTGTGTATACGTAATTAAAATATACCGTTTATTTTAGTTCGAGAGTGAAATTTGCTTTGCATTTACCAACTTTTTTTTTTTTTTTCCTACCTAAGCTGAGAGCCTTGAGAGGCTATGTCAGCGTAACCCTAACTTTTGTAGGTGAGCTCACGGGGCTCAAACCTGACGATGTTGCTAACACGAACCCTAGCAAGAGCCGTGCTTCGCAGAATCTACCACCGGATCGGAAACGCGACCCACTGAGAAGATCCGGCGAGAAACTCAGTGGGCTGTGTCTGGGAGTTAATTTACTCGTCGAGCCCTTCGTCACAAGCGACGGGTTCGACGAGAACGGTGACCGGTGCTTGAAGTACCTAGAAGCACCGTTAGTGGATCGGGAGGATCCGAGATGACGTGTTTTGGGCGACGTCGACTGCTTTCCATTCTGTCCGCAGGATCGGGAATGAATTAACTACTTTGTTTAGATTAGCACCAGTTACTTATATTTAAGTCCAAACAGGAGAATGACGAGGAGAAATTAGGAGTCCCATGAGGAGCTCTTTGTGATGATACTAAAATTTCAATTAACAAAAAATTACACTATACATTTTTTACTGACTTATGACGCATTTCGGTTTGAACGGTCTTATGCCCTATAAACTTCGAACGCATATTATCTCATGATACTTCCATCTCTCCCTGCTCGAGGACATTCTAGTTGAACGCAATTTTTTTCTTCAATGTCTTGAAATTATCGCAACGTTTTAAATGCTCTGCGGATTTTCACAGAATCTCCCAATACGAGAACTCTCAATGACGTCCGTATAAAACAATAATTATTTGGAAGCAAGAAACGCCTTCGCCGTAACAGGGCCCGCTAAATAATATATATGCCAGAGTTGAAAACCTCGTTGCCTATGATTTTATTGAAGCTAATACAGAAGATCTAATCTAATTGTCATGTATAATTGATAGTAGGCAGCGGCTTGGCTCTGCCCCTGGCATTGCTGAAGTCCATGGCCGACGGTAACCACTCACCACCAGGTGGGCCGTATGCTCGTCTGCCTACAAGGGCAATAAAAAAAAATACGATTCTAGAGTATGTGGAAATACATATTTTATTGTGTAAATTGTCTTATGCAACCAAAAATAATTATAAGAATTTTAATTTACAATCATTATTGAATTGACCATGTCTTCGATTCTGGGTTTAAGGGGCTTATCAGCTCTTGTGTGGTGACCTTACAGGGAAATCGTAGTGTAGGTAGACTTATCACACAGTGGAGCGAAGATTCGGTGTCGCAATATTGGTCGTTATGTCAAAACTTAGCAGCCCAAAGCTTAGCGTCGGACGACTCCCGCCTGATCAATATCTGGATCCGACAGCCCTTGGCCGATAACAATGTCGATGAAATTGATGACAATACCTTAGCTAACTTCCGCGCTGAGCTCACACAAACAATCATTATTCATTTTTGTTTTCTGTTTTAGGTAATTCATTCCTTCAGAGGCACAGCACAGACATTAAGGCACGTAAGTATTAAAACAAAATCTATTTGAAAATTCTGAACAAATGTGCCTTTGATTTCAATTCGTATTTACTGGTATTCGTATTTAACCCTTCAAACCCAAACGCATTACTGCTTCACGGCAGAAATAGGCAGGGTGGTTGTACCTACCCGTACGGACTCATAAGAGATCTTACCACCAGTAATTATTACGCAAATTATAATCTTTGTGGGTTTGATTTTTATTACAAGATGTTATTCCTTCACCGCGGAAGTCAATCGTGGACATTAAATTTGTAAGTACGTATTTCATTAGAAAAATTGGTACCCGCCTGCGGGATTCGTATACCGGTGCATCGCTACATACGAATGAACCGGACATCATATCCTTTAAGCCACGACGACTTCAAGACTTGCATGGGTAAACGAACTCACGGCCCACTGAGCCCATAGACATCAACAACGCGAATCTTGACACACGCACAAGTCTCGATAGACACAAAACATGAACATTCTCTTGAGATGAAAATAAATAAACACAGAATGAGATCTCGAAAAAAAAAACTTCTCGTGGAACCCGTCGCTTGTGAAGAAGGGTTCGGCGAGCAATCTAACCCATAGACACAGCCCATTGAGTTTCTCGCCGGTTCTTCTCAGTGGGTCGCGTTTCCGATCCGGTTGTAGATTCTGAAAAGCACTGCTCTTGCTAGGGCCAGTGTTAGCAACACCCCCAGGTTAGAGCCCCGAGAGCTCACCTACACGTTGGGTACGCTGGCATAGCCTCTCAAGGCTACCAGCTATCAGCCAGGAAAAAAAATCCTATCTAATCGGTGGTAGCCTAAAGAGCTAATCTAGCTACGCGCGTACGGGTAGATGAGCTTACGGGCTCAACTTGAGAGAATTGCTAACACTGCCCCTAGCAAGAGCAGTGCTTCACTGAATCTCCACAATCTTCTACCGGATCGGAATCGCGACCCACTGAGAAGACCACAGTGAGTTGTGTTTATTATAGGCTAGATTAAATGTCGAATTCGAAAGAGTTCAACTGGGATAGTGACCGGAAACTTTTAATATCACTACATAGTATAAAACAAAGCCGCTTTCTTTGTCCCTATATCCCTATGTATACTTAAATCTTTAAAACTACGCAACGGATTGTGATGCGGTTGTTTTTAATAGATAGAGTGATTGAAGAGGAAGGTTTATATGTATAATAACATCCATTAAATAGTGGAGAAATCAATAATAAATTACAGTTTCTGAAGCGAAGCGAGGGCGGGTCTCTAATATAATTTAATAGCTCTAATTAAAATGTTGATGTTGATTACGAAACGGAGATAGGATTATGACGTTATAACCCTTCGAGATTCGGGTGTACCGATGAATTTAGGAACGCAAATTAACAAAAAAAAAAACAATGTACGAAATAAATACTACTAACAAAAAGTAGATAAAAGCCGTCTGTATGGGTAATTAAAACGCACCGACAGAACCGGCCGGCTATTCCTGACTGTCGCGCCTGGAACGAAGCCAATAACCCGACGTAGAATAGACACGCGCAAACGCCGCAAAAACTGAACTTTTAATGAGAATGCCTAAGATTTCGAGCGAATTACTTACGATAGGCTCGGTGCCTGGTAGGCAGGTAGAAGGGAAAAGACCCGCCGGCCAGCCGCCAAACCGTTGGTCAGAACAGATAGCTGCGCTCACTGGACTCTCTGTTGCGACCGCCCTGGGAGAAACCGAAAACCGGAGGAAATGGAAGCTTATGGTACAAAGAGTCACGAAGGGCTTTCAGGGATACCACCTTCAGCATTGAAGTATGCGACTAAGAAGAAAAAGGCTCGGTGCTATAATTAGCTCTGCCTCTGACATTGCTGACATCCATGGGCGATGATAGCCTGTCACCATCAGGTATAATGTATGCCCGTCTGCCTGTAAAGGCAACATAAAAAAATGCTTGCAGTACAGCATCCGTCCCATGTGAGGATTAGGGTTTCCGGTACATAAATGGAATGTATACGAGACACAAGAAGCACTGGAAACACCATGTTGTTACTCTTACCTTCCAAGTATCATCGACGAGTCACTCAGTAATGAAGGGATGTGTTGCCGTCATCGCACAATATAAGGCATTGGACAGATACCTGAATCTCGTTTACGTGGTGGCTGTTGGTTCTTGGAGCTTGGGAGGTGTTCCTAAGATTCCTACAGTGGAGACCAAAGATTGGCACGCAAGTTTTGAACTCTTTACAAGTCTGGTCCGCTTATCATATCGTACGTCTGCACGATCGCTCACAGTTGATATCTCTTAATCTTGTGCTTATATTGTGATGTAAATTTTGAAGGCCTCTCTATTCTACGACTATTAGTTAAAATAAATCATAGTAAACTATGATGCATCTAACATCTAAGACAACTATAACAAGTAATTTTTTATTAGGTATTGTTGTGTATTTAAAATTAAAAGGTTCTTTTCTTTCCAATAAATTAATTCTAGAATAAATTAAATCTAAAATAATATTTCTGTAAAAAGAAAGCTACCTTGCGATTTTCCGACATTCGACTATGTGCATCTGAAACAGTCTAAGACTGCAATTAGTAGCTTTTGGCTAATCTATTTTCTCTTTATTCTTTGACAGATTTTTTTAAAACACGCTACACTTTTGTTCTCGTCTTTGTTCACGTCAAATAAAGTACATGGTCATACAGAACCGTGACGTGGTTGTGGGGGGAGTAAGCAATAAATTTTTGGACATTTTGAAATCGCATATGAAAGCTAAGATGTTTTAAATGCCTCAAATTTTGGGCTTCATCAGCTTGGGCCTCATCTGAAGTTAAGTGGTTACAGAAGTCTTAGAGAGAGAGAGAAGAGAGAGAGAGAGAGAGAGAGAGAGAGATTAGAGAGAGAATATACTTTATTGTACACCAAACCACAACTCTTAATGTCTTGATGTGTTAGTGAAATCTTTGTCCCTTCCTTCAAATGAGAACGTATTGCAATTCCATCATACGAATGAATATGCTGGTGGTTTATGGGCTTGAAATACGCCTCAAGATAAATAATTTCGCAATTTTTTTGTTTACCGGATTTCTTATTCGTTTTTATTTCTTCGATGCTCGCGGAAGTGGTTCGTAAGATCTTATTTAGTAAGTATTCAGCATTCAGCTCAGAGAAATTGTCAGTATTAATAATAATAATAATAATAATGTTTTTATTGCAAGTAACCATGACTCATATAAATTGTTAACAAGACTTAGACCTATGTTAGTAGTTATATTTACATCACAATGAATTACTGTCGTAACATCCCATGGGAGATGACACCACAGCGGCCCATGTATACACAGTCCAGCCTGCTTGCGATCATGCTCAGGATACTGTTGGAGCTGGCCCTCACTCTGCTTACCAGAGATGCACACCTCTTACGCATGGTAGCGTAAAAACAATCTATGTGCGCTTCTGCAAACATCCCTGATGCGCTACAAAAGCGGGGCAGCACCACCAGCACCCTAAACGCGTTATTATATTGAACACGGAGAGCGTTGTACGATCTTTGAGTATATATTGTTACTTACCTTCAGGATTTGAACACCGGCACAGTGGCATCGGTTGACGGGAGCACATCGGACATCGGGCATCTTATCTTTTAGACCAAGAATACCTTACACAGACATTAAGGCATTTACTTTCCCGCTTAAACAAACTCCCCATGCAACACGACGCCGACGTTGCTTTAATTCCATGAAATTATCGTGATAAAAGAAACCTATGGAGTTTGGGTGTATTTATTCTCTAGTGATATTAAATCTATAGTTACATGAAAACTAATATTCGACGACAGTGAAACAAGAAAATTACCGGGTGTTGCGTCGACAAGAAATACAACAGTTAATAAACGTTCAGCTTGTGATAATCCAGCCAGTAATAAAACTAAACAGGGAAACAAACAAGAAACAAACCATCGATTCCGTTTTTAGCCGACTTCAAAAAAGAACGAGGTTCTCAATTCGACTGTGTTTTTTTATGTTTGTTACCCCATAATATTTGACTGGGTGAATCGATTTTGATGATTCTTTTTTTTTTAGAAAGCTGACGCTTCTCGTGTGATCCCGTTTCAATTTAGTCTAGTTCTGACAATGGCATCCATGAGAAAACCATATAAGTCTTAAATTTGCATTAAGTACGTGTGCGACAAATAGATGAATAACTCAATATCACGCCAACCGATTTCGATGATTATTGTTTTTATTGTATATTAATTTGTTTTGGAATATCATTTTTTTCTATTTGAAGTTTCTATTGACGGCAACGCGAACTGTAACCGCCGCCGCGTCGTCCCATCCTCTCGTTACCAGCACGCCAGAGTTAGGGTAGCGTGGGGCACAGCCTCGACCTCCTCAGGTCGCCCCGTGACGATCACCGGGAGGAGATTACCACAGGGCTGTAACTGGACCAACGCCCTACCCCCTTACCTGGGGCGGTGACATGGCGCCGAGAGGGAAGAAGAGCTCCCTCTTCCGCTGCCTTCTTCTGCATAATGATGGACACACAACAGTCGAGCATCGCTGCATCATTGTTACGGCAATTGGCAGCGACAGGTCCGGTCCTAACTTCGCGACGAGGACGCGGAGCTGCGTCGTGTTACCAGGTCCCAATAGCTGCTTCTAGTGCTAGAGTTGTAGGCGTAGCGTTAATGAATCAAACCGAAACGTAATACTGTTTCAAACCAGAAGCAGGTAGAGTGGTGATACCTGCGTGCGGGATCACAAGATGTCCTACCTACGACACGAACGAAGCTCTCTTATATGGAGTCAAATAGAAGTAGCTGGTACTTGGCAGTTCCGGGCCAGAAGTCGCAGCAGTACTCCACGCAAGGCCAGGCTTGTGCTTTGTAAAGCAGAAGTCTTTATCCAGGCGTGAAGAACAGCGAATTCTATGTAACGATGCTCTAAGCATATTTCCTAACTAAGCCAGCTCATAACAATCCGATCAGCCCCTTTCCATTCAAAATTACGGCACAC